TACTTAAAGCAGGATTTAAACAACTTAGCAAATGAAGTTCAAATCTGGAAATGCCAGAGTTTGTCATGATTTGCAGGTAAAACCTTCAGCAGGTGCTGACACCTGCAGGCAACAAGTTCCCTCCTCTGGTTTAATGAATCCTGTATTTGCTGAAGATACTGTGTAGTTTTGTAGGGGGCTTGATGATAGTGGGTTGACATTGAGCGAATATCCATGATAAGAACTGCGGAATAAACAGTTCATTGTTCACTAATGATTAACCAGAAAGTGGTGTGATACAGGACCAAGTCCAGGGTTATTGCATTATCTTGCATGGAGTTGGAGCTATGCCACAAATATCTATTGTTATTTGATTACTGGTATAGTAATGACATGGTAAACAGTCTGTAAGACCCAGACAGTCTATTGTAGTCTCCCAGTATGAACAGTGGGATTTTTATTAATGCACCAAAGTGCTCAAGTGCATTTCCAAGGTGGAAGGCCCAATATTTACATGTTTGTTATGCACTCTGGCTTTTAAGTCTGTAGTATCATCGTTGGCATCCTTCCCATGTTCACTGTGGCTTTTACCAAATTTAATCAGACTGCAGATTTATCTTGGTAAATATGTAAATATGTTCTCTAATCCTATTTATTAATTTGGAACATGGATTCAGTTCCAGTGCACTATTTCTGATAAAGTCCTGATTGGTGTAGTGTTTTATCCCTTAGCTTGAACGTGTTTACTCAATGCATTGGTCATCAGTAGTGATGGGACGTGATTGCTGCGGTGATTGGGACCCAGGTGACCGTGTTGTGGCAGTCTGGGGACCTGAATTCATATTTGTTTTGAGTCTGACTGTACTGTCCCAGGTCTGAGTACAGGAAAGTGTACAATATGAGATACACAATAATGTAAACAATAATTCAAAACAACATTTTTGAAAATAATTAAAAAATTCCAATCCATAATTGTTTGTTTGTAGTTTCTGTGTAGTATATTTGTTAACTGACAACCTTTCTTCAACCATCCTATGATTATCAGTGACATCAGGCATTACTCAGTTTGATCTTGAAACAAGTTTGTTATCAGTGAAGTGTTTCTGTTGCTGACTAGTGAGACCTCCTGCTGGCCCTGCTGTTAGTGTCAGCTATTGTGTGTGGGTGTTTTCTTTTGTTGTCAGTGTCACAGTTATGCACTGACACACACAACTTGACACAGAAACGTTCTTAAAAATCTCTTTATTTCATTCAATTCATAGATAAAATACTTGGTTAAATAGGTTGCAGGTGGTTAATTGAAAATTCCCCGTATTCTGCTTGTCATTTTTCCGCTTGGCTGTGGTTTACCTCGGTGCCTCTGTGTAACATTACCATGTCTTGAAGCTGCCTGCACCAGTGAGGCATCCCACTGCTGTGTGCTGTGTCAGAGATGAACTATGTGCTGCTGCCACTGCGTAGGCTGTAACAACTTAGGCCGGCTGTTGGAAACCTGCCCATTTTGCTGAGAGGAAGCAAGTATGGGATGTTTCTTACATCACCGTGGCCTACATCACCTGACAAGCAGAGTCACACTAGGATGGACATTATCAAAAGTGTGACGTATCAGTGTGCTACTTCTTAGTCAGGTTTGGTGATAAAACTGTGATGGTGATATTGCAATGCAGATGTATTTATGATGAATATCCCATTTCCACCTCAAGGGGTTAGCTACATTATTCAAGTGATGCTATTCTCTTAGTCTCCGGGATGAAATAACCTTGAGATAAGAGACTGCATGGTACAGAACTTATGACATGGGCACAAGGATGTGGAGTTTACACTCCTGTTGATTACCTATGTCATAATTGATTTAAGTCTCAGTGTGTGGAATACTTTGAATTGCTGCCCTGCCAGAGATGTTTATTAGTTACGTGATGAGGGGCAGGTCCCACTAGATTAAAACAGCAGTTGTTTTCTTACTTCATTTTTTGTTAGGCAACTGAGTCATAAATGAAGAAAATCTGTTTGGCATTGTCAATATCAAGTGGAATGATGACAGTGTTGTGTTGGGTTCTAAGGAAGTTTGTCCCATTTATCATTGCCAAGTAGGCTTCTTATCATTTGATATACCTGAAATACAATGGCACGGACAACACACACATTTTTTCTGGTTATTTCATTTATCTATTCTTGTAATTTTAGTAGGTTGCTTTCTTGCTGGGGAAGAGAAATGTGGTTCTGATGATAGAAAACTGGTTTCAAATCACTGGAAGTCTTTATGAATAATAATGGTGCATATTTTTATCTTAATGACATTGTTTATTATAATTTTTTTATAAAAAAAAAAGAATGAAGAGCTTCACATGGAAACTGTTGGTCAGTAGCATGTAATCCTCCTCCCTTACAATCCCAGCAACCCTACATTGTAGTGGTTACACAAAAAATATTTATATTTGCTGATGTCTTTAAAATAATTAGTCAATATTTTAAACAGCAACTTACTTGTTCAAACATCATAGGTTGTGATTGACATTGAGTAACCGCTGAAGAAGGGTGTTTGTTTTATTATTATAAGGACACTTTGATTCATTCAAATCCACCATTTGTGTGTCATTTGATACTGATTACGGAACCAGTGACAGTAGTCCTGGAGCTATTGGCTTAACCACAAAATACTCCAGTTGATTGAAAACAAGGTTGGCTCAGGATAGGTAATTGTTCCCTTCCTCAGCTGTTATCAGGTTTAAAGAAACCTATTTCTAAAGCAGGCAGACACCAATACCTTCAACACAGTAGCGTCATTTTGCCAAACCATGTAGCAGAACAACTGATACAACTCTTTTTATCAACTCTTTGTAATATGAGGAGCTGATTGTGGGGGGAACTGAGTGTGGTTGAGTGGTATTTGTAAAGCTATATAATTTGTGGTTAGCATTTTTTTCATATTGAATAGCCAACCTTGGATAAGTTAGCATATTGTGAGCCATAGCCTTTTTTGAGACCACAAAATACTGGCTATTTAACAAATGTCCTACATAACAAACTGCCATCTC